CCCCAAAACCCCAAAACCCCAAAACCCCATTTTTAGATATTGAAATTGAATATTAAGTAAGAAATTAATAGCGTAATATAATTTAAAAGTCATTACTATTCTTTATTACTTCTATTTACATGCTCTTTTACAGTCATAAATTATGATTATTTTTATTTTCCTCCAATAAATACTGGTCTATCTTTATCCTCGAGTTTATTAGATCTTCATCAAATCTTGATTGAAGCTTCTTTTTTTCAATATCCATAAGCAATTGTCTCTATTGTTCAAGAGAGAGAGGAATCTTATCTTAATTAAAATTAAGAGGAGGAACTAGTGAGGATTAAGTCAGTTCATTATTTACACTAAGTTTATTTTGTAAAGTTGGCAACGTTTATGCATTTGTAGAGTTACTAGAGTTTAAATGATGTAAGGAGTTATGATTATTAGGGACTTTAAATGAAATATCTTCTTTTTTCTATTGAATAGACCTTGAGGTGTGCTTTGCCGTTGATGATCTATTTAGGGTAATTTTATTTTAAGGATGAATCTATTTGAATTTTCCAGTTTAGGGAGTGTTAAAGCCATTAAGTGTTTAATTAGGATTGAACTTTTCTTTATAGTGAAAAGATTTAACATTCGGAGAAACATGAGAAGGTTCATCTTAGTAATCAAGTTCATTATTTTACTATAATCTCTTCCTCAAATGAATTACCTTTTACTACAACTCATCAATCTTAATCTAGTTCTTATACATCTACATCTTCAAGTCTAAATTCAGTTCCAAATTCACATTATGCTCTCCAGTCCTTATGGTCTGCTATTAACTCATATCTGAGTTCTCCACATAGTAATTCTAGTTCAGCTTTACTGTCTAAATAACTTGCTTCTTCATTAAGATGTCTACATCTAAGTCTTTTATTGTTTGCTCTCTTTTTGATTACTTTTATATTAATAACTTCTCCTCCTATTTATATTCTATTGTCTTAAATTCTACAAGTTTAATTTTCATTAGAAGCTCTATGCATTATTGCTCTAGCTCTTTTTATTCCTTTCTGACTTTTAATTACTATTTGGATATGGAGCTTTGAAATCCTCAAGTCTACATATCAACTTGTTTAAATTAATTTGTTGTAAGCCTCTATTTTTTCATAAGCTTTTTCTTAATAAGCTTTGCCTCCACAATGCTGAAATCCAGATTATGGTTTTTATTTATCAATGATTCTATGTATTTATTATCTCCTTACTTTATTAATTATTACTAAAGTACTTCTTTTTAAAGAATAAGATCTTTAAGTTCTAAATTATATTGATATTGCTCATCATTTAATCTTGCGATATAGTTATCTTTGAAATTCGAACCTAAGTATTCTTAATCTAACTTTTTTCTTTTGTTTTCTATTCTGATTAAAGGATTATCTGTTTATGGAGTAGTTGAGGATTATAATACTGAATCTGTAATTGCCTAACTTCTCCGTACATTTTAATATGCAAGCCTTCTTTGATCAATTATCTCAAGAGAGTTACTAACGCTCTCTCATTAATAAATGCCATTCTAATTGATATTATGATTTTACTCTTGCTTTAGTTTAACAAATTTAATTTTCTTAGGACTCTTTCTATTCATCTTTAGATATATTTAGTTTTTTTTTTCGGCATTAATAGGGATAGTGAAAAATTTAGATTTTATGGAATCTTTGGATTTCCTCTGCTTTTAATTAATCTAGTGATGTTGCTCAGTAGAAAATCTATCAAGTTCCACATTATTTTTATCATTTACCCTTTATCTAAACTACTCATACCTTTTCAAAGTTTATTATGCTTTTCCCAGATCATAAGCTAATTAGTATTCTTCTTCATAATCAGTTGTGTCAAAATTTTATTTATTAATGGGTGGCAGTAGCTAACTATAGCCACTGATATTATTTTCTGTGTGTCTATTTTATTAGCTATCAATCAATCCATTTCTATAAACATGATGAACTCCTAATTAGTTTTATTATTATGGTAACCTTAATTGATCTCAAGTTCAAGAATCAAGAACTTTTGATCTTGCATCTTAGTTGCTGTTAATTTATCTTTTTTGAGGAGCAGCAAAATCATTTCTATATTTATTTGGGTCTCTAAATCCGACAAATTGCAAGGGTGAAATACTTCTCTGCTATTAAAGCATACTTCCAGGTAGATTAGAACTCATATCTGAATCAATTTCAATATGATTTGCCATCTTCATAGAATTCTGCTTTGAACTTTATATATTTTGGAGGAGATCATCTGGTGTTTTATTGATATATTTGAGAAAACTTTCTTTATTATTAGGAGGCGAGTAGTTACTCAAAAATGGGTCAAATTCATTCATTGCTTTTTTATTAATCTTATTTTAAAAAATTTAACTAAATCATTACATATTTATTCATAAGATTATATATTTTTCACCCGCACGCCTCAATCAACCTAATGGGGTTTTGGGGTTTTGGGGTTTTGGGGTTTTGGGG